ACAACTCTATGAGGTAGGTCTGCCTTAAGGAGACTGACAGTCATCTAAGTGAGTTTCAGGACTCCTCGGGGTTGTGAATCTGTATCTTCCAAGTCTAGGGTCAAGGCCTAAACATTTTGCCACATGAGATGGATAAGGAAATGGCACCTTTCATGACTCACCCATTTCATTGTGATTAGTACTCAAAGCCAGTTATTTTGGCACCTGAGGTAGAATATATCACAAGCAGCTCTATTTTTATCCCTAGTGGTAGATCAGCAAATTAAATCACTAGCAATTTGTTGCCCTTTTGTAACATTCAACATCTGGTGACTGAGGTGGCCGTTTCACATTGCCTACTGCTCGGACTGACCCTGCTCAGGTCTGAATCCCACACTCCACACTACTGCACTATAGCTGACTTCATCCTTAGGATAATGGAGATGAAAAGAAACAAAGGTCCTAAAGACTAAGCCCCCTATCCAAAAACTAAGGGCAGTAGTCCAGAAGCAATGCACATGTGTGGCATCAAGAAAGTCCCAGGTTTGATCTCGGTTTGTTTTGTTTTGTTCTGTTCTATTTTGTTTTGTTTTAAAACCAGATTAGGTGTGCTGTGAAAGGCATTTGCCTGAAGTCCTCAAGAGCTGCTGGCAGTAAGAGCAGGCAATAATGGCTTAATGGTCTTACCTGGCTTTCTGATGCTTTAACACATAGGGATGGAAGACTTTCTATGAGTGTTATAAGGGGAATTTCTCTGTTGACTCCATGGTTTTGATTCAGTGTCCCAATGTAGCATTTGCCAGCTAGACCCATATGGGCCACCCTGCATAATATATAAGACCCTGTGAGGTGCGGTTGCTGTTGTCAAGGGCCTTCAAATCAAAGTTAACATAGCAACCTATGGCTTTCAAAATAAGTGAGATATTTAAAGGTTTTAGCAGTTTCACACCTCCAGTGTGTTTCCGTAGCTGAGCACGAATTTGAACCCAGGTCTCCTGAGTTCTAGTCTGTTACTCTATCCATTATATTACACTGGATATCAAGACTCAGGAAACCTAATTGGAAAACTCTGCTCACCATTGGAGACACTCGGGGATGGCAAGGGTGAACTAAATCTTTGAACAACTCATGTACTTTGAAGATTTGGTAAGATCACCAAAATTTGGAAGTGAGTTGATGGCATAAAATAATAAACGATGTTAAGAGTTTCTATGCTGCCAAAAATGTTCCTGAAGAACACCTATTCAAAGGAGGCATCACACAAAATAGTAACTTGTCACCATCTTACGCTTTCTGATTGATTTGATCCTGCCTGGTTCCAAATATTATATACAGTTGTATATGTTGGATCTTCCAAAAAGACATTAATTGAATCCATTATCCGTGTTTTGATGGGATGTCTTTCAGATGGAGAATCAGTCTGCTGTCAAAACGGGAATTACTGGAAAATACTGTATATGTTGAGAGTAGTGATGGCTCATGACCAAAGCAGGGAGATGCCCCCAAGCTTTGGAAGGAAGCACTCTCTTTGTCCCAGTCCAGAAGCCGCCCACCTTTAAAATTCATGCTGAACTATGAAGCACTTGCTCAGGGGCAAGTCACTGTGTCTCAACAGATATGTTGTAACATAATTGCTGTACAGTCATTCCATGCACCATTTTGAAATGTTCAGGAAAAAATGTGCCATTCCAATCTAATAAATAAATTGAAGCTATAGCTTGACAAAGTTCAGCATATTGGCTCCCTAACATAGTCCATTTTCTCCTGCACAGCACAAGCTGAAAGAATTCCTTAGAATATGAATGTGGCTTTTGCGACTTTCCAGATATTTTTGAACTATAACTCCCATTAGCCCTCACCAACAATTAGGCCTTACAGTACAACAGTCACTACTCCTGCCTTAAAGGGAATAAATATATTTGGAGAGAATCACATAGAAATTTACAGTAGGAACCATGTCGATATATGACAGACTATATTTGTGAACCAGGGGTCTCCTTTAGGTCAGTGGTCCCCAACCTTGGGCCTCCAGATGTTCTTGGACTTCAACTCCCAGAAATCCTGGCCAGCAGAGGTGGTAGTGAAGACTTCTGGGAGTTGCAGTCCAAGAACATCTGGAGGCCCAAAGTTGGGGACCACTGCTTTAGGTGACCCAAATGTATTTACATTGTATTGAAAAGAACATGAAAAGAGCTGTGTTGTATCAAACCAAGGGTGGTGCTCATCACGAACCCTGTGCCTCCACCATTGTCAATCAGATGCTTTCAAGAAACCCATAAGCATGGTATGAAGGTGACAGACTCCCCAGCAGCTATTGTTCAAAGGCACTCTGTTGAACTACCATGACAAATATCCACAGGGTTTTCCTATAGGTATTTAACTAAACCCCATTTAAAGCTACCTTGAAAACATCTGTGAGGATGCTCAGTCATCCAGGTGAGGTTATCTGGAAGTTGAGCCATGGCAACTGGACTTTCTTATTAGGTTGAAACGTTTCACTACTCATCCAAGTAGCTTCTTCAGTCTGAGGAGAGAGTTGGTAGGAGACCCCTGATAGATCCTCCACATTGGTTTCACTTCCCCCTGGTTTGAATAAGCTCCTTAGATGGACAAAGGATTGGGATGGTGAGTGAAAATACCACTTCTGCAGTTGTTCACCCATTGTTATGGAGTGTTAACAGTAGTTAACAGTGGTCTGTCTATTCAGATCAGGGGAAAGTGAAACCAAAGTGGAGTATCTCCTACCAACTCTCCTCAGACTGAAGAAGCTACTTGGATGAGCGGCAAAATATTTCAACCTAATAAGAAAGAAGTCCAGTGGCCATGACTCAACTTCCAGATATCTTGAATATACTTTTTGCTGCAAGAAATTCAAGTGGATTTAAAGCAGAGATAGGCAACCTGTGACCATAAATGGCCAGCATTTAAATTTCAGAAGCCTCAGTCAAATTGTAATGTTTTGTTCAGTTGATCACTTTTGAATGCACTTTTCTAGGCTGTAACTGAGAGCTAGTGTGGTGTAGTGAATAAAGAGTCAGACTAGGACTCAGGAGATTTGGGTTAAAATCCCTGCTAGGTCATGGAATCTTATTTAGTACTGGTTTGCCTGCATTTGGCTCTCAGCCCACAAGACCCATAGCCAGAGGAGAAGCATGTTGGCTTGGCCATCTCAAACATCCTTTTTAGATAACAATGCAGAGCAGGGGTAGAAGAGCTATTGGTTTCATCAGGATGTACTTGCACTACCTATATACATAATCTTTTTCTTGGTGGAACCTATTTAATAATGTATTTGCAAGTATCACATGCCATTTAACTATGTTGACCATCCTCTTTATACTCAACCCCTCCCCATCCAAACTTTCATGCATGGGCCCTGCCCATCATTGGCATGTTTCTCTCTCAGATGATCCTGAGGAAATGCATCCATCAACTGAAAACAATGTTGAGATTGGCAGCTTGGGCTTTTTAGTCTCTTTGTGTTACAGTGGTGTGAAAACAATTTCAGAGCTGGAACATTGCAAATATCTAAGCTAGTGTTTGACTTAAGATTTCAATTATGAATTTGTTCTAAGTGAAACACAAGCTCTCCCCTATTTATTAGAAGTGCATTGTGGTGTTATTATAGGATGAAGAAAATCTTTGCACACTGCCAAATGGCCTTAGACCAGAATCCTATGAACATGATCTAGAAAGAAATACCACTGGGTTTGACAGATCTCAGATATACTGTATTTAGGATTATGATAGCACTGTGTACATAGGAACACACCAGTCCAAGGATCCAACAGCTCTTTTTATAATTTCTAACAGGGGGTGAACCTTGTCACTCCCTAGAAATACATCAAATCTGAACAATGTTTAGGCATGTCAATCATCTATAATCCAAAACCACAAGACCAGCTTCTGTGAGTGTACCTGGTGAAAAAAGTGACATATTCCCTAAAACATAACCATGTCTCTCTTCCCAACTTGGCCTCCTCCTGATGAGTTTCGACTATAACCCCATCATCCCCACCTATGAGAGCAACAGACTGAGAATCTGGCTCTTACTAGTTTCATCTTTCCAAATTTGGCCTCCGTTTATCACCTGTACAATGGAGCTTGTAGAATGGAATAAAAGGACTATTGAGATGATGAACTGAAATAGATGTGATGGTTCTGGAATTTTATTATAAAATGAGTAACAGACAATACTCTGAAGGCCTCTGTTTTCAGGGTGATACTATGTTGTTATGTGTTGTCAAGTCAGAACTGACTTATAGTGGCCCTAATAGAGCTTTCAAGGTGAGATATTTAAGGATATTTAACCAGTTCTACACCTCCAGTGAGTTTCCATGGCTGAGTGTGGATTTGACCCCAAGCTTCCTGAATCCTAGTCCATCACTTTCTCCACTATATCACATTGAGTGTCCCTTTAGGGTGATACAACTTAGTAAATCCAGAAGTGGAGGTTCTCAGAATCAGTTATCTCCCTTTGAACTCTGGTCTTTCAGCAAGAGATCAGGGTTACTGTTGGAGAAAAGAGGAAATGAGTCTTGGGAAATTCAGTAACTTGGACTCGGAACTTTACTTTTAAAAAGACAGCTCTTCCAGTTTCCTCAAGTGGAGCCCTCCACTGGTAGGGTTGCCAGACTGTAGTCCTGGCAAATTCATGCCACTTTCATCCCCCCCCCATGCAATTCAGAGAAGCAGCTTCAGAGAGTCCCATTTCCCCCCCCCCAATCCCATCATGGGTACGCTCCCCTGCTCTGAGTCAAGCACCCTGAAGCCTTGCTCGTTACAGCAAATAGCAAAGGGGTAATGGATAAGAAACCAGGGGAGCAAAGGGTTAAAAAAGTTGTAGCTGTCTTTCCCTGAACTGTACTTGGCAATGTTTTCCAGATTCTGCCCTGGCAACCTTATTCACTTGTCTAGAAAAGTCATCACAAACTTGTCTTCTTTTCTGCAAGGTAACCTTCCATATGCAAAATTCACATCCACCCAGGAGACGGCCAGAAAACAAATGTAAAACACAGTACCTTCTCCTTCTTGGAGCTGTCCATCTTTGCTCTGTGATCCAGCATTGGGGCAGTTGTCAGTATCAGCAGGGGATAGCTCTCAACTCACTCTCCCATAAAGTCAAGAGATGCACAAAGTCAAGTTGCCTTCCTCCACCGCACCCCACCCCACCTCCTTTTCTTGCTTGTCCTTAGCGAAGAGGGCAGTCCTTCCTGTCGCTGTTGAAGATCTTCCACTTTCTTCAGTTGTTTATTTCATGTATAAGGTTGTTTCCTCTCCTTTTGAAATTCTGTGGCACGTGACAAAGCTTCCTCTTCCCTTTTACCTTTGGTCTCTGGATTTCTCTCTGGCCCAAACGTAGTGTTTCCAGGACTCCTCGCTGGTTTTTGCTTCACATCGTGGTATATTGAGAAGGAATGTCCATTCTGTGAGCAGGCTGCGTATCTTGCATCCTGACCAAGCCAAAGCAACAAAACCTTTCTTAGTCTGAAACTTTCTCCCGTCTTCCCAGGTAGCAGAGCATGGGAGCGTTGCATATGGCCTTTTGCTTCCCACTAACTTCCTCTTGATTCAGTTACTCTTCTGGACTCACCATTACATTTATTTGCTTTCTCCCTGGGTGACACCTTTCCATATCTTCTGTGCACACAGCCTGTTTCCTGGGGTCTCAATATGAACCTTATATAGCCATGGCAATCGATGAAATCCTGTTGTGGTATCACCTCACTAAAGCCCCTCTTGCTCTTCTGGTCATTAAAGCTGTCAAGCGGAATAGTGCTACCATGGGAATAAGGCTTAATTCAAATGAGCATAACAACCACATTATCTCTCTGTTGCTGCTACAGCAACCACTCAATTGCAGGGCTTAGCAACAGGTTCCACTTCCATAGTGATGATGGGTCACAGAAACCCATTTTCAAGGAGCAAATGTTGCTCCCCTCTATCAACATAGATACTGTACTTCCATAATTAGTCCAGGGAAACCAAAGAGATGTGGGACTGTTAGAGGACAGAGTGCCCATTACAGCTGAGATGGAAGTGTTGTCTACATCCACACCATCAACTCTACTTTCAGTGCTAACCCTGTGAGTGAACAACTTGAGCAGATCTGCTGCTTTCATCCTGCTAATATTAATAGGCACCCAGAGACATTGATCCAGCCATTAGTTTGTCTTGCTGAATGCCTCCTTTAGACTGACATTGGCATTGAAAACCAACATCTAGTGACCTGGGAATGGCTATTCTGAACTGTATATCCAGAAAAAGATTAGATTGTACGAAAGTCTAGAATCTGCTACAACGCGGTGACCACATGGGTCAATCATCTCCCTATTGTTATTCAACAACTAGAGCACTAGAGGAGCTCATTTGGAAATTTGGGGTCTGTTGACATACAACTCTATCTATAAAATAAGACCATCCATGATTTACTTTATATGATTTACTTATAAACACTTAAATAAACATTGTTTTATTGAATAACACTGATTTAAGGGTCATATTTGATATAGTGAGGAATAACTCCTCTGGTGGCAGCGGAAAGGGTTGAAAAGTAAATGTCATACCCAAAAGTGAACCTGGGTTGTGTGGAAGAACAAACAGGGGGACTGGGGGTGTGTGACAGAAGGGGCGGGGGGTCAGCCTGTCAGTGCTCAGACCATATGCTGCACACGGCATCAAATTGGTTTCCAGGGCTGTCGTCCCAGAAGGAAGCCTCTTCTAAAGATGATGCACAAAAAAGCCCGTATACGGTTTGCTGCAGACATGGATTTCTGGAACCAGGTCCTGTGGTCAGATGAGACCAAGATAAACTTATTTGGGTCAGATGGTGTCAAACGTGTGTGGCGGCAATGAGGTGAGGAGTACAAAGACAAGTGTGTCATTCCTACAGTCAAACATGGTGGTGGGGGTCTCATGGTCTGGGGCTGCATGAGTGCTGCCAGGAATGGGGAGCCACAGTTCACTGAGAGAACCATGAATGCCAACATGTACTGTGACATACTGAAGCAGAGCATGATCCCTTCTCTTTGGAGACTGGGCCGCAGGGCAGTATTCCAACATGATAACGAGCCGAAACACACCTCCAAAACGACCACTGCCTTGCTAAAGAAGCTGAGGGTGAAGGTGATGGACAAGCCGAGCATGTCTCCAGACCTAAACCCTATTGAGCGTCTGTGGGGCATCCTGAAATGGAAGGTGGAGGGGCACAAGGTCTCTAACATCAACCAGTTCTGTGATGTCGTCATAGAGGAGTGGAAGAGGACTCCAGTGGCAACCTGTGAAGCTCTGGTGAACTCTGTGCCCAAGAGGGTTAAGACAGTGCCGGAAAATAATGGTGGCCACACAAAATATTGACACTTTGTGCCCAATTTGGACATTGTCACTTACCAAAAGTGTACTTATTTTTGTTGCCAGCGGTTTAGACATTAACGGCTATGTGTTGCATTAGTTTGAGGGGACAGCACATTTACACTGTCATACAAGCTGTATACTCACTGCTTTACATTGTAGCCAAATGTCATTTCTTCAGTGTCGTCACATGAAAAGATATACAAATATTTATGAAATGTGAGGGGGTGTACTCACTTCTGTGATATACTGTAGCTACCCAGAGTTCTGTCTTGCCACTAGATGGGCAGAGTATATCAATCAGTCAATCAATCAATCAATCAATCAATCTCATGAAACTCAGAGTTAAATATTCAGTTATGTAGTTCATATAAATAGATAACACAGGGATGGAGTTGTTCTGGCTCTCCGGGTATTTTGGACAACAATTCTCACAATTTCTTCTCATTAACCATACTGGCTGGGGCTTCTGGGAGTTGAAGTCTGAAACATCCGGAGAACCATTTTCAGACCTGCAGTATTTTGTATTTCTGTGCCACTGTGGTAAGCTTTCTCTCCCTCTTGCTTCTTTGGGATCATTCTTATAGCAAGTATGCAGCCTCTCTCCTCATCTTTAGGTTCCATGCAACTTCTGCTTCCCAGTCTTTTCCTTTATCTTCCCTTATTCAACTCCATCCTTCCCTATGATTATATGCAGTCCAGTGTCCTTGTTGCAGATCTCTGTTTTTAACTGACTGTTTTCTTTCTCGCTGCTGATTTAACAAAAGTCGCCCTACTGCCCTGATTTCTTCCCAGATGCTTCATGGCTCTTACCCATTCTGGCTTTCTCCCCTCCCTACAACAACACATCCCTTGGAGCAACCCCCAACCCTGGCTAACTACAAGAAGAATGGCCCACCAGGCTGCATTCCTATATAGGGGAGAGTTTTGAATTGCAGGAAAATAATGATTTGTTTATTTTAATTTTTTTTAAATCCTCCTTTTAAGTGTAAGAAAGATGGAGCCTGTGTGGCTGGCTGTTGATATTCACATACACATATTTCATATGCATGCATGTATTTTCAGCTTCCCCCTCTAGATTTGCTCTTAAATTTTGTTCACGCAGTTCTGCCACTTTTTGAAAACGGGGATGGGAAGGGGGAAAGCCCAGTACATAAATGTAATAGATGAATACATTCAGCTCCATTTCCCCCTTGGTTTAATAAATAAACAGGTTTCTTGAGACCTCCTTGGTCCTTCCTTCCTTTACTGATCTGCTGTGTTTGCACCTCAGCCCCCTCTCTCCAAGCCTCCTGTTTATTCACTTCTTTCTGTTAGTAGCAGAGGGCGGCTGTTTCCTGCACCTCCCTTTCTGCACCCTGCTTCCTCAAGTGCATCCAGACAGAGTGGGCTCCTCCTAGCATTACTGATCAAAGGCACTGGGCAGCTTTTCCAGTTTTCTTTTCCAAATAGAGTGGGTTTTCTTCCCTCTGTGTGTGGAAGGAGAAAAGAGGGAAGTGATTGGTAAAAAAAACCCCAAAAAACCAATGGTAAAATTCTGTGACTGACGCCAAATGCTGATAATACAGACTGGATATAAAATACACTGTGTGGATGTTAATGCTGCAGAAATGAGTAAAGCAGTCCTTCCTTGTTTGTGAAATCAGACTTCAAAAGAATCGTGTGCTTAAGTCCTGAAGACCAGTTACCATACAAAAGCTAATTTGCATTAGAGGGCAGAAATTCATGCTGTGACACTTAAGAGGTTTCATTAGTTCCAGATTCTCCTTTTCTAGTCATAGGCTGTCTCTCATGTCTGTTTTTGTCTTTGGAAGATATATGGATTTAGCTGTGAGCCATATGGCCCCAGCCCACAGGTAGCAGGCAGCCGGGAAGAGGGTGTGTTGCTCCAGGATCAGGCTGGCTGGAGAGAGTCCCTGCAGCTACAGGAGAGACAGTGTCCTGATGAGAGACAGCTGGAGGAGGCAGGATCATGAGAATAAAAGAGCAGAACTGGGAAGGCAAGAGGGCACTGCCTAGCCTGGAAGAAGAAGATGTATAGGAGGATGTCAGACGTGTTTACCTTCATCAGGTTTATTGGCTTGTGATAGGGACCAGGCACTAGAGACTCCCGTCATACACTTGGAGAAAGCTGTTCTAGCCCAGATGCTGCCACAGCTCTGGAGAGGCAAGTGAAGGAATGGACAGGGAGAGATAAGCTGCAGAGACTAGGTTCTTGTGCTTATTCAAACAAGCTTTCTCTAAAATAAAAAAAGACAAAAAAAACTCTGAACCTCAGCTGTCTCCTCCCTTCTGCCTTCCAAAACCTGGACTCAGGGGAAATTCAAGTGAACCTAATTGTTCTGCAAGCTGACAAGTAGTTGAGAGACTGTAAATCGACCCTATGGGATGGTGGGGAAAAGGCAGAAAGAACTGCTGCTTTTATTCTAATAAAAACAGATTAGAGCGAAGAAAGTGAGATGGAGTCCATTGAGTAATTAACAGAGCGCTCCAGCTCTGCTGGCAAGGGAGCTGGTGGGGCAACACAGGTGCCCAAGGTCTGCTTACCCAAAAGGCACTGGAACCGTAGTGTTTTTGAGCCATTAGAGGCATTTTGGATGGCAGAGGAGCAGGCGCATAGTGTTGCAGCACTTCCCAGGAAAGAACGAGGATTCATTCTCTCTCTCTCTCTCTTTCCTTCCTCTCTTTCCTTCTTGTACTACTTCCATTAGTGGTGAAGCACTACTCTGGGTGGTTTGCAATAATAAATAAAATAACCCAAGATAAAATGAAAACTGTTTAAAACCAGCTAGAACAAGAACACAGACCCAAAGCAGGAGGAGCCCCTCTGAAAAGCCACATCTTCAGTTGCCTCCGGAATATCCACAGGGAGGGCTAGACTAGGCAAAGCTCCTCTGGAAGCTGATTCCACAAGGTTGGAGCCACCACGAAGAAGGTCTTGCCTCTAGTAAATGACTTACTGTCCCCTCTCAGGGTCGCCACCTGAAGGAGCCTCTCTTGTGATGATCTAGTGTGGTGGGCAGATGACACTGGGGGAAAGATGCTCTGACTAGAAGCAAGAGTGTAAGCAGACACCTCCTGGACCATTTGACAGGACAGGTGA